CAATAAGCAGGAAAGGATGTCTGAGTGCTGTGGACATCCGCTGTGATGCTTTTAGGAGAGCTGTGCCAAAGGAAGTTCCTTGAAGAAGAGGAGGTAGACGTTTCTTGTAATGAGAGAGGAGAATGCAGTGGAGTTTGGAGGGCAGAAGAGAGTACACTTCATCTCCAGTTACTGAGAGTCAAAACGAATGGAAGAAGTATAAGCAAGGCTGATTCGGAGTGAATGCAGAAGTCCTGCCTTTCTTACAAGCACCCATCACCAGATTTTTGTAGCCAGGTCTAGCATTTGGCAACAGAACCTTTAGCTTTCAATTGTTACAACACTTCAGTAATAAGTAAAATGAGTAATTTAACTAGTCTTACTGTGTATATTCACTTGATAGATTTGCCAGATAGAAAGTATTCTGTTATAACTGGGAGGAGAAGTGATGTGCCATAAAATATTTTTGTATAGAGTTTGTTGATGTAGTAGAAGTTTTCAGGAAATCCTTTTGTAATGGATGATAAGCCAGAAGATGCATATCTGTTTTTATGAATCTACTGAAACAAATGTGCTGTATTTGATCATATGAGAAGCAAATGGTGTTGAAATAAATGTAAATATCATTTGTGTTCTGAGAAGTATGTGTTTCGTTTCAGATAAAGGACATTCTCTCAAAAGTTCAAAATAACCATGTGGGGAAATCGCTGCTAACAAAACCTCTGAATTCCGACCAAGTGGTAAAAAAATGTCTTTCCATTTCTCTTCTGTGTTTAACAGGGTCATCAAAATAAATGCTTACGGCTTCGTCTGTGTACATCTTACATCACTGCTCTATTGCTAAATATTAATACTAGAACTCAATTGCTATATGTTAACAGTGCTAGTCAGATGCTTCCAGATTAATGTTATGAAACAGATTTTGTATTGATTCATCTGCTTATTAACTTCCAAAATACTTTATATATACATACTAGTGTAGCACTACACAGATGTGCCCCTTATTTTACGTAGTTGATAGTGGTCACCTGGGGACAAACATCTTTAGTTGCTGAATGGATTAAATTTAAACTGACTTCTAAAATTTCTTACATTTGAATGTGTGGATTCTCTATTGTAACATTGCAGGAAAGATTGGAAAAAATCAACGATGCTCTTCGGAGCGAGTACGAGTGTCGGCGCCGTATGCTGATGAAGAGGCTGGATGTGACGGTGCAGTCGTTCGGCTGGTCTGACCGGGCGAAGGTGAGCCTGCTGTATTGCTGGCTGCCTGTAGGTGGGAGTCTGCTGCCGTTCCCCACGGCTTCCTCGCGGTACAGGGGCCGTGTAATTACACTTCCGTTGCTGTTGTCATCCTCCTCAGCAGTGTCTCATCCTGGGTTGTTACATATTGAGAAAGGGGAAGGATTTGACCGGGTGGCACAGTCTGTTCTTTGTTACTGTTTACAGCTTCACAGTTACAAATTCCAATAGCCTCTGTTGGGGTTTCTCATATCAGTAAGTTCACATCTCTCCTCTTTCTTTCCTATGTTCACTCCCCTCCAATTGAATAAACTGAATTTAGGAGGAGGGAATCTCTGTATTCCTTGTGCAGTTGCAAGAGGAAAACAAACACTGAGCCTTAAAACAGATTGGCTGCAAAGAGTGACTGAAGTCAGTGAGATTACAGTGACTGCTACCTGTCCGGGATTCAAAGCTACGGAATGAACAGGTGGTCACTTGAACAAGTTATTTGAATAGCAGCTTGTATGAGAAAAGCACACAGTTACTTGTATTCCCTCAGGTGGCTCAAAATTCCAAATGACCCCTGGATTTATAGTTTGTACTGTTTCTTAGCACTCTGTATATTAAAAAAAATAGTCATGATTTTACCCCTCTGATATTTTTGAGCTAGAAATACATATTCTTTCTATCCAAGAGAGTAGGGACATAAGAGAAAAAAAATTTGTAATTTGATGAATATACACGAGAAGCTGGAGGCAGATGTTCTTGCTTATGAGCTGCAAGATCAGCTTCCCTTCCCAAAGGTTTATGTAGAAAGCTTGATAAGGATAAGTCTTAAAACAATGAAGCTTACTGAAAGCATGGATTGTTACTGGTATTTCTGGTGTCACAATCTGTCAGTGACATGTGGACAGAATCTCTTTGATGAAGCTCACTAAGCACCACTGGAAGAGATGAGTGTAGATGCTGCTGTGCGGCTTTGGAATGGGTCACTGCTTAATTTCTGCAGGGGTTGTGAATGCTTCTATGCTGGAGGAAAGGGAAAGGAGGGCATTTAGCTCACAGAAGCCAGAAGATGCTCCTGCATGTGTAATTTCCTCATAGCTGTACCAATATAACTCTGTATTTTCAAATTTAAAGTATTCTTCTAAAATGCAGTTGATGTTAACTGATGACTAACTTTAACAGACTACAAGTTTAAGTCACTTGATATTGTTCCATTCAAACAACGTGAAAAACACTGAACACACTTTCACACTGGAACAATTGTTTAAAGACATTTTAAATGATGATGAAGTGGTTAAGATGGTTCACTTTACTGTCTCATAAAGGCTGATGCAAAATCGTATGCAGTTACAGAAATAACCAGGTTACATGTGAGTTCAAAATGGTGTAAAATTTCTACTTTTTTTTTCCTCCCTTTGTTTTTCCTGTAGAAATATTTGTTTATAACTTCTCCAAAAAGGTTTTCGGGATTGAAAATGTTTTGGCACTGATATAATTTAGATTATTTTTTTTTTAATGCCAAGAAGCAAATTGTTCTTTTTTAATTTGT